CTAAAAATAGAGTCTAGTAAAAGGAAGCCAATATCAATCCACGATATTAAATACAACGAAGAGAAGGTACATTTAAAGGAATTCCAATTGTGATTTCCTATTTCCTAACAATTTCAGTTACTGTAATAAAAACTTGTTGCCATTGAGGGATGAACATCTTAGATTGACTGTTATGTTAACATATTTTGTTATTATTTGGGAGTTTAGGTCTCTGATCAGCAGGGGCATTTTCTCTATATAAGAAGAAAATGGAGACTCCCTACCCACCCGATGTATTTTGTCGGACAGTTTTCTGTACATTGCAGGTAAAAATTTTATTTATTAACTTTCCAGCCTCTTATTGTAAAGTACATTTTGGGTTCAGTTTTTGCTTTTCTTTAATTTTTAAAAAAAATTATTTAAATTCTCCTTTTCTTAGAATAAAATTCAAAAAGTAGCTTCTGATTGTAATGTATAAGACTACAGACATTGAACTTTGATTTGTTATCAAAAGGATTGATTTAAACTTGTCTAAATTAATTGTAAACAAAAATAAAAGGGGGCACCTGCTATTTCTTTAAGTGTTTTTCACTGGGGGGTGGGGAAACTTTTTTGTACATACTTAAGCAATAGGAGGGATTAGATAAGAATCAATTAGTATATCAGAGTCTTAAAAAATATACTTTGCATAAGCATAAAAAAATTCTATATCAGTCTTTTTAAAACCTTTGAATTTTGCTTAATTAACTATGATTTATCCAATTTTGGAGCTTTTTACCTAATTCTGGGTAGAATCCACCCTTATGAAATTATTGACTCAATTTTGACTTAATATCACTTTATTAACATCAAAGCACAAAAACAATTCATTGTACAAATATTTTATTTATTACAGTCACCAATATATCCAAATATCATCACCGGCCCAGACGTCATTCACTCCTTTGAATTGTGCTGGTAGCAGTAAGGTGTCATCATTTGAGATGGTCACAGTATCCAATACACTGAAGTCACAGGACTCAAATTTCATACATGTTCACAGGTAGGTGTATAGTCTTTGAAATTACCACAATTGACTAATTCTGGGACAGGTAAGTGTGTAAGTATAGGAATGAGAGCACCAAATCCCCGGATGCACACATGGCTTTGTTTGTTATGGAACATTAAACGGAATACTGAATGGGTAGGCGTTACGCCATTGGCTGAAATCAGGTATTTAATTGTTTTCATTTTAAAGTAAAATTAATGACCTTTGAAATAAATGATGGGATGAGGGAATATTACAGAAACTATAGAAATGCCAGGGAAGATTTTAGGAGTGGGGGTTAATTTTTTATGCCGCGTGTTATTTACTGCGAATCTCTACAAGTTGAAAATAACTGCAATTTTGACCTATAAATGCCATGGGACCATATATTTTTTTCAGTATTTTTTGTTAGGGCTTAGAACAAAGTTTGAAATGTTGCTAAAGATTTTTCTGAAATTGTCATAGTAAAGTACTGAGAGGGCCTAAGGTTTGTATGGAGTTCTATGGGAAAATAATTAGTGGTCTTTTCCCTATACAAGATGCTGTCTGATGGCGTAGTGTAGAATGTAGCGTAGAATGTTTTCCAAGTCGGCTTAAATGCAAAGGTTTGTTTTAAAATTTATCATAATGACTTGCAAAAATTTAATGCAGTTAAATTTATTGTATTCTTGAAAGATTGACTGTAACACAATTTTTTTTACACAATTACAAATAATCAAATTAATTTTTTTCCAACTTTTTTTCAGGGTCTCTGCCAAAATCTTTTGAGGATTTTTCCTCTGCTAGAGCATCCATGGATGCAAATGAAACAACCCAGGACATCCCAACACATATGGATAATCAGGCCATGGCCTACAGTATGTACAAAAGTTGCCATACTTTTAAAGCAGTAACTTGCGTGCCTCCAAATGGTGCACTTACATTTTGCTCCATGCTGTACCCAGGTTCTACTTCTGATGTAGCTATTGTACGTCACAGCCAAGTTTTACGAAAGTTCAAAGCTGGAGACCTTATTTTGGTGGTCAAAGGTTTCACCATTCATGACCAGTTGCCCCAGGGTGTCTGCTTAATTATAAAAGCTCTTTTATCGACACGAGGCCAGTTTACCATACAAGAAGCAGCACTGTTACAAGATTGCTAAAGCACTTATTCATGTGGAAAGAGCCAACGAGAGGATAAAGAATTACGAGATTCTCCGTCACATACCATCTACTTACAGACCAATCTCAACAAAAATATTTCAACTCTGTTCTTGTCTTGTAAACTTGCAAGCTCCACTTTTGAGAGAAATTACTTAAAGATACATGTACTTATTATAAATTTGCATTGGCGTGTGACAGTATACACTAAACAGTGAAGATATTCATACCAAAGTGCAAGGGATAAGCAAATTTTGATTTGTTATCAATGTCAATGGTTATATTTGTTAACTTTGTAGTATGTTGTAATACACACTGTGTGTTACCGACACCGGATATTGCTACCATCGAGGCGAGGAGTTCTTCCCATTTGAACAGGACACAGGTTGGAATTTATTTTATTTGTCAAAGAATTCGTCCTCATAAGTGTTCTACAAGTAATTCTGACGTAAAGAGGATGCTACACTTTTAGATTATATTCGTTCCGCAGCGTTTCGCAACGTCATTTTATTCAAACTTATCAAAACATGAAACCTGGTACCGGAGGAAATTCTACCTGAGAAAGTTTGAAGGCTGCTTTCTTAATTGTTTCAAACAATTTAGTTATGTTCACACACGCAAGTCCTTTTAAACTATATTTCTGAACTTCTTATATCAAAGTTAATGATACAAACTGTTTATTTACATCAAAACAAAGCAAATATTATTTTTCATAGTGTACGGCTTATTGTAAATTGTTTCAACAACTGTGTACGGCAAATTGAAATTTCACTGTACGGCATTTTGAGATTTTAAACAATCTGAAGCAACTTTTTTTTAACATTTTGAACTTTAAATTTTCATTCTACTATTTGCATTTGCTATGTTTGTATGAGAATAAAGACAGTTTTGAATATCCCACCCTTAAAGTATTTTTACAAGCCTGTGAAACCTCGCCAGACCAAGTACAATTAAACTAGAGCTCATTTAGACAGTATGCATTTGTGAAAATTGTAGTACATGTTGCGGTACCCAATTTGGACTTTCACTCCACTGGCAAAAGAAAATACACTTTATAATTTGAAGACATATCTAACATTTATGGCACACGATATAATAGCCAATCTCTTCATTTCAGGTTTCATGTGTATCCGGTATCTAACCAAATCAGTGTTGCGTTGGAAAAAAGTAAATTCTGCAAAGCCGTGATGAAAGGACCAGGATCAACAAAAATTTTAGCAGTAACCCTTCATTTGTGGAGTACGTGTGGGACATCCTTCTTGGGGAAATACAAACTGCAGGGACACACTAACTATATGGGCATTAACGAAAGGACACTGAGATATATTTGCTCCTGTAGGTATAAATTAGCTCTCCTCATTAAAAGATCCATTGGAGGCTTCAGTACATCCACCAGACCCCTCTTCCGACTTCTAATGCATTGGCGTAGACCTACCAAAAAACCTGACAAGAAAAAAGGGTATGATTATGTGCATTGTCAAAACACGAAAATCCTATTTCGGAAAGGGGGGGTGTTAGGTTCGAACTTCTTTCAGTACCATTTTTTTCAAACGCTATTACTTTTCTCATTTTTTTTACCTACACTGCAACATATGTATATTGCCCCCCCCCCCCTACAAAATTCCTGGATCCGCCACTGAAGTGCCATCAAAAGTTGGAAGACAAAAATTCAGCATACCCTACCTTAGGGTTGGAAAAGGGCTGCATTTCATTTCCGGAATTTTGAGCAATTATCAACTTTTCATTTCCGGCATTTTTTAGTTTTCATTTCCGACATTTTTTTGTTTTCATTTCCGACATTTTTCAGATAGTGCCTTTTGTAACAGATTTGAAAACTTTACCTATGAAAAATTTAAAGGAATACAAATCATAAATAAATCATTGAAATGCAAGTTCTGAGTTTTTATAAATTTATCAATGAAACGACAGTGACAATGGAAAATGCAGGCAACTACCTAAATTAAAGTTCGATTGATTGACTCGACGTTTACTCTGCGCAGAAGTAAAGCAGAAAAAATAAAATTCTGTGTAGAGCAGTATAATAAATACGTTATCAACTAGAGTAAAAATTCGATTAGAGTACATGTATATCTCAAGTGTCTTGGACATAAGTTTGGTGCTGTCACTGATATTTATTTAAGTGCACATTAAATGAGGTGAAAAAGTTGTATGTTCATTGAACTCTTTTACCTAGACTAAGTGCTACATGTGTGCATGTGTGTAGAAAATAAAATGTAGCATTCAGTTCCCATAAGTATTGACACTCCAACCCCGAAGAAAAACACAACAAAATCCAAACTATGTTTCGTATGTCCTGAAGTTTTAACATAAGGATTGCTTGCGTGTTTTTTTACTCCATTTTTTCTTTGCATAAGTTTTGAGACATTTTTACTGGTAATCTTTTTTCATTATTATTTTTAAAATCATAAATGAGATAACACTCACATTAAAATATTAAATTTTCAGGCGCAGATCCAGGAATTTTGCCGAGGGGGGAGGGGGGGGGGGGTGGTCAGCCAAGCCAACAGTAAAAAAAATCCCAGAGATGTTGTGTGTGTGTGTGGGGGGGGGGGGTAGTTGTTGACCTTGTAACGCTTTCTACCAAGAACTTTTCATACCAACTGTTTTCAAAGAGGTCCGTGTTTACAGAAGACTTTAAGGCCACTTTCACTTGGTTTAGTGTATACATGTACACATTTAAAAACTACAAATATTCCCGGGGCCCCAGACACACACCCCACCTAGATCCGGGCATAAATGTCTATTTTGCAAGGATGTGTGAACCTTTCTTTTCATAATTGAATTTTATTTTTTTTTTCACATTATACAGAAATAAAATATGTTGCAAATGTATATTCTATAGTTATTTTTTTCGTTTTATTTGTGAATTTCACAGAAACGCTGAAATTTCTCAATTTAATATTTTTGCTATGTCAATATTTTGTTTTGATCACATTTATGATGCTGTCGTACTGGCGCAACTCCGTAGCTATGGGCTCCTGCGTCTAGGACATCGATGTAAATTTTCTCTTTGCCTCATGTTCTTTTCGTCATTTCTTCGGAATTAAATACGTGGTCCCTATATATTAAATTAAAGAAACATAATGATAGAATAGGCTTCTCTGGGGATATTTTTCAAATACAGTACATTCTAAGATCACATTAATAAGAGTTGTATATATTGAGTGACAGAAATCTTCTTTTTTTCGGGGGGGGGGGGTAAGACTTACCTAGGAATGATTTTACTCAAGAAAATTTGGGTAGGCCTAAAAGTATATCAATTTTCCCCTTATCAAAGTTTATATTATTGTAATAAATTCCCTATAGCTTGCTCCTGGCAAATGTCTGGTATAATACGAAAATTGAAGGTGTGTAACACATTTTTTTCAACGATTATTTCTTGTGTATTATAAAATAACATTTGGGTAACGATATCCTCAAAGGAGGACACTGTTGCTTTGCAATAGAAGCAGGCAAACAGCGTAATATCTGAAATCAAATGAAAAAATCTGTTAAAAAAGATAGACAAGTTAATGAAATAATCAAAATGCCGTACACTTTGTTATGCGCAATCTAGCAATATGCCGTACTGTTATCCTCAATTAGCCGTACAGTACCCAAAAAAGGTTTTGTTTAGTTTTATCATTAAAACACTTTTTCATGACACGAATCATACAGAACATGAAGGACATTTAAATTCTTAACAATTACTGATAGTAAGATTTTTCATTTAAGCGTAGAAACATATCTAAGAAGCACTTCAAACTTTCTCAGGTAGAATTTCCTCCGGTACCAGGTGGCATGTTTTGATAAGTTTGAATAAAATGACGTTGCAAAATGCTGCGGAACGAATATAATCTAAAAGTGTAGCATCCTCTTTACGTCAGAAATACATGTAGAACACTTATGAGGACAAATTCTTTGACAAATAAAATAAATTCCAACCTGTGTCCTGTTCAAATGTGAAGAACTCCTCGCCTCGATGGTAGCAATATCCGGTGTCGGTAACACACAGTGATACATGTACTTCAGAAAATGAAAATCCCTTTTGTTTAGCATGGATTTATTACAAGAATGTTTGGCAATTCGATTCTTCATTTGACAATATAATTTGGAAGAGGGTTTACTTATAATTTTAAATCTCTAGTTTAAAGTATATTTACCTTTAAAGCACAACTCAACAAATTCATGTTTTCAACAATTTATCTATTAAGAAAGACAAAAATGTTACATTTTCACTTTGAGAATAACATCTTCAATTCATTAATAAAATGATTCTAAATTTTGATATTCTTTTTTTATGTAGTACATAGATTTTATTAATCATCATTGCTATTTAAAATAGTCTTATAAGCCAGAAGTTTTATGATGGATTCATTGGATTGTGACATATCATATCATACATTTATGAGACTTGGGAACATTCAACACATTTAACATGATTACCCATTTTCCATTGTTAGAAAATTCTAGAGGTACAAAACTAAGTGTCAAGAAGTTCAAACCAGAACTCAGTTTTCCATCAGTGCTGGAATGAAAATGTTAATGTAGAAATCTATCAGCTTTGGAACATTTGCTGTCCATTCAATGTCTTTTACTATTCTAATCACAATGCAGTCTACTCTTGTCCACACAATTAAGTCGCAGAATGTTTTGTTACATATGTGTAGCTGGCCTTGAATTTGATGATAGTACGGGTGACTGGTTTTCAGGCACAGGGTATCTTGTTTAAGATCTAAAAAAAAATCAAAAAACACTTAAGTTGTGTCATACCAGTACATATCCCCTCCTTTTTCAATATCTTCATACCATATTGAACAGCTGCACTTGTAAATTAATACATGTTTTGAAATCATTTACTCACCAAGATTTTTAATTTCAAAGTACTGGACAATACAGATTTTTAATGTTATTTACCTATGAAAAATCCTTCAAATTTTGTGCCCCATCTGCTACTGTTGAAGACGATGCTGTATATGGACACTTCACCTCTACAATATCAGGAATGGCGTCTTTGGCTTCTGGAGTTTGATAAAATACACTGCATGTTGGTGGTCGAACAACTAAGCCATCAGGTGAAGCTCCCAACACTCCGGATTCATGCAACCATATCCTTTCCAGAAAAAATTATAATACTACTGAATGCAAACAAACCATAATACAATTGATTTTGTAATGCAAACAAAGTCTAAGTAGAGCTTTTATAATCCTTCTACTTCAAAAAGCAAATTTTCTGGAATATGTTGGTAACTGAATATTTATGCCCCGCCATGAATATGGCCGGGGCATATAGTGTTTGTCATGTCCGTCTTCTGTCCTTCCGTCCCACTTCGTGTTTAGCTCTGTTCAAAGCTAAGTTTCAAAGAAACTATCCAAGATATTTTCATCAAACTTCATATGCTGATAGATATTGATGAGAGCTATGCAACTGCATCAACATTTTTTGACCTTGACCTTTCCTTTGACCTTGACCTGACTTTTCTTAAATAGTGTTTAGCTCTGTTTTAAACATACCATTCAAGATGGTGTTATCAAACTTTACATGTTGATACAAACTTGCATAGATGATGCATCTAGAGATGAACACTATCGGACTTGCTTCGGATGCTGGATCTGACCTAAATTTTCCAGATGAGTGACCAAATTAAAGTTTTTGGAGCAGGTCCATTCTTAAGGAACTATAAGCCCTACTTAGACCAAACTTGCTTGGATGATGCATCTAAGGATGGACACTACCAGACTTGCTTCGGATGCTGGATCTGACCTACATTTTCCAGATGAGTGACCAGGTTGAAGTTTTTGGAGCAGATTTATTCCTAAGGAACTATCAGCCCTACTTAGACCAAACTTGCATGGATGATGCATCTAGGGATGGACACTACCAGACTTGCTTCGGATGCTGGATCTGACTCACATTTTCATTCCCAAGTAACTATAAGCCCTACCTAAACCAAACTTGCATGGATGATGCAGCTAGGGATGGACACTACCAGACTTGCTTCGGATGCTGGATCTGACCTATATTTTCATTCCCAAGTAACTATAAACCCTACCTGAACCAAACTTGCATGGATGATGCATCTAGGGATGGACACTACCAGACTTGCTTTGGATGCTGGACCTACATTTTTATTCCCAACTAACTATAAGCCCTGCCTGAACCAAACTGATCAAATTTTATACATGTACAAATTTCATGTTGCTTTACTAATATATCCTCGGCGGGGCATTCATGTCCTATGGACATATTTCTAGTTTTATTTTTACAATTAGACTTCAGTAATTGATTTCTGTTTTTTTACCAGGATAAGTCCTGTTATTTGTTTTGACACATTGAATGTTAACATGTCAGAGGTTGAATGAATGTTATTTTGTGCTGTATACCTGACTGCTCTACAGCTGCATCAAAGTCCTTTTCATACTTTCTCAAAGCATCATCTTCATGAGTGATACCCCATGCAACAGCCTTGATGGACTCCAGATTGTAAGCCGACATCAGCTGTTTCTTCAGTGACAATGTCAATCTGGAGAAGAAAATATGATTTTTGGTTATTAATCTTATATTTCCTGCATCTTTATGTACAAATATCTAGTCATTACAGTCGAACCTCATTATCTCAAACTCAATGAGACCAAGAAAAATGTTGGAAATATCCGTGGATTCAAGAATAATACATAAAGAGTTATCAAGAATATAATGTCCCAGTCTTTTATAAATGGTTTGGACTTCAAAATTACTTTGACATATCCATGAAATATGAGATAATGGGTTTGAGATAACAAAGTTTGACTGTAATTTTAAAAGTCTATTTCGCAAAAAATTTAATCACACGTCTTACCGCCTTTGCTTAGAACTGAGAACTGCACCAAAGTTGGAAGCTGATATGCTATGTTTCCTTACAATCGACCACATTGGGTTGTTTCATTGCCAATGCAGCTCTTTTAATGGATTCAGGGATAATGCATGCTGTAACCATACCATAGGGGTATCAGAATGAACATACTCTGGTGATGTTAACAGGTCTTCAATGAGAGGTACAGGTGGACCAGGTTCACATGGCTCTGGTTCAAGAATCCAATTCAATGCTGAAAAATTTCATTACTTGTGTCATTCTCAAAAATATCATCCATAATATCCATATCACATATACCAAGTATTTATATAAGAGTCCATACATTTCATTTTAGTGAACACTGTCATGGGTTTTTGTAATGTATGCATTACATATCAAATTTACAACTCACTTGCATATATTTGTTCAGAATTGTTCCTGTATATAATTTTGCACGTGGCATTCTTAGTGTGAAAATGCCATGTAAAAATTGGTGCAAATGTACAATTAATATTTACTTAATTATTAACAAGGTTTCATAATGACAGAGTATTTAAATAATAGAAGAATGATCTGATAATTCGCAAGAATATGAAACAAAATATTTTTTTTAATGCAATTGAATAATTTATTTTTCCTTTCAAAAATGTATGCTCATGTACAAAAATGCTATCATATTTATAATATTGTCTTTCCAATTATTCAAAGGTTGTTATTAATATTCATTACATAGTATGTTCAAAAATTGGGCATTATACATAGCCAACTATATTATACTCCTCATCTTTGTACATTTGTTCACAATTAAAATTAACCATCGGTCAGTAACAAAATAACAGTTTCATAATACTCGTAATATAAAAATCGAATCAAACTTAAATAACAACAATAGTAACACCAAAATCATAACTTCCTTCTTATATTTTACCAATAAACCTTCCAAGGTGCAAAAAACACTGGTCACTTTCATCAGAGGGTCGGTTTAAGGCACTTCAAATATGAAGCAAATTTTTTAACAACTGATTTATTTATATTTAATGATTGATCATTTTCTTAAAAAAAAAAAACAAGAGGCCCATGGGCCACATCGCTCACCTGAGCACTGTGGCTAGGAAAAAGTAAAAATTGGTTTTTTATTGAAAAGTTTAAATCCAAAAGTAGTCCCTTGACCAATCATGGCTTTGCTTTTCTTGAGAAGGTTATTTTTAAAGAATTTTCCTATATATTTCTATATAAAATTTGATCATCCTTTGTGGCCCCGTCCTACCCCCGAGGACATGATTTGAACAAACTTGAATCTACACTACCTAAGGATGCTTCCATATAAATATGATCAATCAGGGTTTTGCTGTTCTTGAGAAGAAGATTTTTAAAGATTTTTCCTTTATATTTCTATGTAAAACTTTGATCTTCCATTGTGGCCCCGCCCTACCCCGGGGGTTATGATTTGAACAAACTTGAATCGACACTACCTGAGGATGCTTCCTTATAAATAGGATCAATTATGGCTTTGTCATTCTTGAGAAGAAGATTTTTAAAGAATTTTCCTATATATATTTTTATGTTAAACTTTGGTCAGCCATTGTGGCTCCGCCCTCCCCCCGGTGGTCATGATTTGAACAAATTTAAATCTACACTACCTGAGGATGTTTCTCCATAAGTTTCATTTTTCCTGGCACAGTGGTTCTTGAGAACAAGATTTTTAAAACATACCATCAAATTTACATTCATTCCCAATTATCTCCCCTTGAATGAGGGTGTGGCCCTTTATTTGAACAAACTTGAATCCCCTTCACTCAAGGATGCTTTGTGGCAAGTTTGGTTGAAACTGGTCCATGGGTTCTAGAGAAGAAGTCGAAAATATGAAAAGTTTACAGACAGATGGACAGACAGACAGACAAACAGCTAGATAGACAAAATGTGATCAGAAAAGAGCTAGAAATGAAACATTCCTCACCACAAAAGCCAGAAGAATATAGGGACCACCACCAGTAACATGTTTCTGGGAAGAACCAAACCAAGCAGAGATAAATATCAATAGTCCTGAATCTTCGATGCAGGACCAAGTACGAGAATTGCTACAAACACTACTCTC